GGGGGGGGGTTGGCCTTTAAACACTGAACCTGGGGAGGAATGCGAGTCAGAAATAACAAACAGGGGGCCCGCCTGAGTCAGAAAAAAATAAAGGAAGAACAAGAACAAAATCTCAACACCTCATTAATCCTGTAACTTCTCCTAAAGCATTACCTCATGAGGAATTCCTATAAATCTCATGGATTTGTTTTCATCTATTAATGGAGTGCTCAACTCAAGATTCCCACTCATGCTCCTCTCTCCTTTCCCTGCCCCAAACCAGCCTTAGAGTGTTTCTGTCCAAAATAGCCATGCAGAATAAGATTTAGGAGAGATGTCAGCAATTCCCTAATCTCCAAAGTGCCTGTCTTGTAGCTTCAGGACTAACAAGTAGTAGAAGAAGTAGTAGAAGTAGCAGTAGAAGACTACAAGTGGTACAAGAAAGTACTTCTTGTACTATCAAGTAGTTTCAAGACTCCATCAAGTTCACAGCCCCATGCTGTTGGGTGCACCACAAGACCTGAGCATGAGTGTCTAGCTGAGCATCTGGCTAAACATGAACACTTCTGCCCTGAGCTATCTTTACAACCCATGGAGAAATGGTATCTCTAGGACATGGTTCATTTCACCCAAAAGTCAATGCCTGTTGTGCTGTAATGTCCAGTGACCCAACTTGAAGTATTTTAGGAGGGTGAGATAGCTGTATTTTGAGAATGGCTGGGGATCCATGATGGATCAATGAAAGAGACTTCCCAATTCATGAGTCACATCTGAAACCTTCAAACCAGCTGCTTACATGCAGACAAAGCAAGGGAACCCCACACAATGTCCGATTTATCCCAGCAAGTCTGTCTTTAATTAAAAGCAGAAGCAAAACAAGCAGTGGAAGTCCATGTGATATTTGGTGACCTGTCATCCTACGCCATGGTCCTGCTGCGCTGCCTGCTCCTGGGTCAGGGCTCAGGGTGATATAGGGCCAGCTCCCGGGCTAATTGTGTGATGCTGGGGGACACTTTGGGGGAGAAAAGTGCAGAATCCAGCCCTGCTAGCATCACTTGTGATTTCCCTGATAGGGTCAGGGCTAGATTGTGGGTGTAACAGCCTACTCGGGAGCTTTCCCAGCCCGGGATCATTGGCACAAAGCCTGTGCAAATACTCTGTGGCTGCAGAGTTCCTCCTTCATCCTTTTCAGGGTAGGTAGTGTTGGACAAACACTGGTGTTTGTTCTTTAGGGTATCATCTTCTCCCATCTCCTTTCAGACAGCTTTGGAGCCTGCCCGGGAATGCAGATTGCTAGGGACTACTAGTTCTTGTTTTGGTGGAGTATCACCATACCTTTACCTGTCTGCCTGAACGGGACCTAAGTGCCTGCCCTCATTGATCATAGAATCATAGAATGGTTTGGGTTGGAAGGGACCTTAAAGACAATCCAGTTCCAACCCCCTGCCATGGGCAGGGACACCTCCCACCAGACCAGGTTGCTCAAAGCCCCATCCAGCCTGGCCTTGAACCCCTCCAGGGATGGGGCAGCCACAGCTTCTCTGGGCAACATGTCCCAGTGCCTCTCCACCCTCACAGGAAAGAATTTCTTCCTAATATCTAATCTAAATCTCCCTTCTTTCAGTTTAAAACCCTTCCCCCTTGCGCTATGGCTCCGTTCTCTAATCAAGAGTCCCTTCCCAGCTTCCCTGGAGCCCCTTTTAGAGACTGGAAGGCTGCTATAAGGTCTCTCCGGAGCCTTCTCTTCTCCAGGCTGAACAACCCCAACTCTCTCAGCCTGTCTTCATAGGAGAGGTGCTCCAGCCCTCTGATCATCTTTGTGGCCTCCTCCGGACCTGTTCCGACAGGGTCAGCCTGATGGCAGCCTGAACGCCGCTGGGCCTGAACTGAGAGTCAGGGCAGGAATTTAACGTTATTTTGGGTGATGCAAGTGTAAACCTGGGCATCAGATGCAGCCCTGGGACTCTCCTTACCTCCCTTGCAGGTGTGGAGGGCTGCTTGCCTGGGTGCTCACCCCCGCCATGTGCTTCTGCAGCTGGGATGTAACCCTTCAGGCCCCAGCCACCACCACAGGGCAGTGGTTTGGAAAGCCCTGCCTGGATAGGGAGGCTCTACAGAGAGAGGTGGATAGGTTGGATCGATGGGCCAACATTAATGGTATGAGCTTCAACAAGTGCCAGGTCCTGCACGTGGGCCACAACAACCCCGTGCATTGCTACAGGCTTGGGGAAGTGTGGCTGGAGCTGCCTGGTGGAAAAGGACCTGGGGGTTCTAATTGACAAGTGGCTGAATATGAGCCAGCAGTGTGCCCAGGTGGCCAAGAAAGCCAACGGCATCCTGGCTTGTATGAGAAATAGTGTGACCAGCAGAAATAGGGAGGCAATCATCCCCCTGTACTCAGCACTGGTGAGGACACACCTCGAGTATTGTGTCCAGTTTTGGGCACCTCAATACAAGAGAGATATCGAGGTGCTGGAGCGAGTGCAGAGGAGGGCAACGAAGCTGGTGAAGTGCCTGGAGAATAAATCATATGAAGAGCAGTTGAAGGATCTGGGACTGTTTAGTTTGAGGAAGAGGAGGCTGAGGGGAGACCTCATCACTCTCTACAACTACTTGAAAGGACACTGTAGAGAGGTCGGTGCTGGTCTCTTCTCACAGGTAATTAGCGATAGAACAAGAGGGAATGGCTTCAAGCTCCAACAGGGTAGGTTTAGACTGGACATCAGGAAACAATTTTTCACAGAAAGAGTGGTCAGACACTGGAATAGGCTGCTCAGGGAGGGGGTTGAGTCACCATCCCTGGATGAGTTTAAGAGTCATTTAGATGTGGTGTTGGGGGATATGGTGTAGGGGAGAACTTTGTAGAGTAGGATAGGTGGTTGGACTCGATGATCCCGAGGGTCTTTTCCAACCTGAATGATTCTATGATTCTATGACCTGTGCTTGCTCACCGCCTTCTCTTTCTTCCAGGCAATGCAACAAGACCTCCAACGGGAGCGACAGCTGCGACTTGATGTGCTGCGGCAGAGGCTACAACCCCTACATGGACAAAGTGGTGGAGCGGTGCCACTGCAAGTACCACTGGTGCTGCTACGTGACCTGTAAAAAGTGTGAGCGGACTGTCGAGAGATATGTGTGCAAATGAGAACCCTCCTCTCTCCGCCCGGGAGCTGAGACGCCAGCGGCACCCCAGCACTATCCAGAGAAGAGAAAACATTTCCCCGACTAGACGCTGTTTATCTTGTAAAGACACAGACTTGGAGAAAGATGGTAGGAGGGAAAAAAAAAAAAAGAAAAAAAAGCAATCACACCCGTAAAAATAAGACCCTTAAAAAACATCCCCAAAAAACCAACCCACAAATGTTTCCCCCCCACCAATAAAACCCTCTCTGAGAAGACAGAAAACTCATTTGGGATAGTATCTTCTTCCACAGTATTTCCTATGGTTGCCGATGATGTCCAGCCATCAAGTGCCTTAGTATTTTGAGAAACAAAAGTAGAAACTTTCCCTGGGGAAGAGAAGTGACTCTTTTTTCAAAATAACTAAGGCTCACACCCACCTGTGCCTTCAAGTGCAGGTACCGAGTCTGCGTTAGGACTGTCCCAGAAGGGAAAACTCTACCACTTTTCAGCAATAACTGCCTTTACTGCCAAAGACTTAATTTTTGACATGGAAGCATCCACTCCAGATGATAAAGGTGGAAAGATTTCAGGTCAATCCCCTGAAATGAACAAATCATTTAAACCTTTCTTTTATGCAGTCTGCGACTTTGAAGTTGACTGCTGCGGGAAAAGCTCTCCATGATTTTTCCAGGGTGGATGGGGTTTCAAATTCAGCTGTGCAAGAACCCCCGTGGCATCCTGGAGGCAGTGAGAATAGGGTACCCTGAGAAGGGCTTTATGGGGTCCAGGAGATCGTAGTGGAGCCATCAGGATAAAGTAACAAAGTCAAGACAAAATCCAGGGGGAAAAGTAAAAAAAACCCAAACATCTCCTGCTCTTTTTCTCTTGCCCTTTGGGTGTGATGCCCTTAGTCACTGATGTTCTGCCACGCTGGGCATTCAAGTCCTTAGGGAAACGTGCAGCTGCCTCTTTTTTCCCCTGCAAAACTATTGACCTGGCCCCAAGAAACTGCAGAGAGTGGAGCGGGTCCAGTCCTGGCTGCAGGGAGGTCATCCATGCAGGGCAGCAGCTATTCCCAGCAGGAGGGAGTGGGAACGTGTCCGTCCTTCACGTGGCCGTGGCCCTGCCCTGACACAGCAGAGAACCACTATCTGTGGCTGTACATATTTTCTTTTGTATGCGGACATACAGAAATATTTATAAGATATATCTCGCGCTTTCGTCTACTCTACTTCCTACATAAATATACCTATATATGATAAACGAGCATTAACAATAGTATGAAATAAATGCTGAAGTTACTGGTGCAACAGCAAAATGTTAGATTATTATGTTTCACTCTCCTACTTGGAAAGCAACCCTGCTTTCCCTCCCAAGGACGGGAGAAGAGCATGGCTCGAGGCACTCGCTGGCGTGGGATAGATAAGTTCCTTTATTCCCTGCCTCCCCAGCCTCTTCAGCTCGAGCAGAATTAGCCAAGATACAGTCAAGACAATGAAACAGAGCACTTGAGGAAAGGAAGAGTCACTGCTCTTGTTGTGCTTTTCATATCAGCCATCACTCTCATTAGTAAAATATCCCAGTGCCCCCAAGGAGCATAATAACAAACGTGACTAATACCCCTCATGGGTGGTTTGCTCCTTGTTCCTGCATGTTGTGTTGGAAGGTTTAGCTTAAGCTTAAGCTAGATTCCCTTTCGTGCTCTGTTTTGTTTTGTTTTCTTTTTTTTTTTTTTTTTTTTTTTTTTTTTTTTTTTTTTTTTTTTTTTTTTTTTTTTTGCAATGGATATCCGGCTCGGTGTCAGCAAAAGTGACATTGGAGAAGGATATCTGCTCCAGGAGCGGGAGGCAGCAAAGCCTGTGAGGTCCTTCAGGTCATTTTTGGGCATGCTGTCCCCCAAGAAAAGTGCTGTAAGCAGCCAAAAAATCACTCCTACATAAGCGGGGAGGACAGTGCCCCTTTCCAAGGGGGAAACACATCCATAACACCACAGTCTTCCTCCAAATCCCATTCTTTTCCCCACCCAGTTGCTCTCTAGGAGGCAACTGCCCCTGACATGTCTCTGAGCAGCCCTGGGAGCTGGAGGAGAGAAGGGTTGTGGGGTATAGAGCAAAATTAGAGATATTTTGTACTCCTCAGCTACTTTGCTTTGCTGTAACGAGTTTGGTTTCCTCGCCTCCTTCCCTCCCCCCATCCACGAGCAGGCAAAAAGAGGCCTTTGGTAGTTTGTCAGTGGTTTGTGTTATTGTCACCCCATAAAAGCTGGTGGACTGAAACGTCTCCGCAGTGCGGTGTGATGAGCGGTGGGTGTCTATAGGCTGACATGCAGACAGGCTGGTGGCACAAATCCCACTCCTCTCCAAAGCCAGAATTTGGCTTCGCTTGATATGTAAAGAAATGGTCTACTTTCATTCTTTTAAGGAATTTTATTTTTATTTCCAGTCACTGATGAAGCCAACAAGGCAGGGATGTTCTGACCAAAGAAAAATTTGAGCATTTCAATGCTATTCTGTAATGACTGTTTTTCTTGCTCCCTTGCTGATGTCCTGAGTCTTTCTGCTTGGCGTAAAAATAGTGAGATGGAAGAAATTCTCTATATGCACATTGTTTTCAGCTGCGTTTCACTCCTACGGTGTCAGGCCCATGTTCCTCAGCTGCTTTTTCCATGTCAGAAGAAACCATAACTTTCCAGAGCATGAAAAGATGTGAGCAAGCCCACCAGGCATCTGCAGGTCCATCAGGTGGGAAATGACCCCTCAGTAGACCTTTAGCCATGGTGGTATCTCACGCTTCACATCTGCCTCTGCCCACAGCTGTCTGTCACTGAAGATGCTGAACTGAAATGACTGCAGTGCTTGGAATTTTGCATTTGGGGGCATCCAGGCTCAAAAATCCCTCCTGGCTCCTCTAGATAATCCATCAGGGGCTTCAGCTGAATTTTTCTGCTTTGAGCTAAGAGTCTATGTGGCCCCAGCCCATGTCTTGGGCTGTTGCTCTATGAATTTATGCCTTTACACTGGTTTTGCTATAACTCTAACCTTTCAGGGTCCTTCTCCAGAGCGGCTGCACCCTGAATTAGCTATGTGCCCAGGGTGATGAGCCTTACTGAGGTGAGAGTCATGCACAGGGAAAGGTCTGATAAACAGCAGCCTCCCTTCTTACGCAGTCCTGCTTCATCCAGCAAATTATTGTGATCTCCTTCCTGATGGTGTGGCATTTTCTAATTTTTCAGAAAATGGCTGTCTATAAGAGGGAGGCAGTGCTTTCTGGTTTGTTTATTTTTCCTTTTAATACTAACTAGGAATAAAAAGAGAGTCTATAACATGGGACCGTACTGGTGGAACGACTCATGGTGCGTCTTGCTCCTTGCAACCTGGCTCTGATGCTTTTCTCCTGGCACCAGCAGCAAAGCACAGAGGGGCCGCTTTTCTCCTGGCACCAGCAGCAAAGCACAAAGGGGCCAGAAGAGAGAAGAGTCCTTGCTCTCAGCTGCAATGCTGGGTGCAACAAGAGGCCAAAATGTAGCTGCCAAATGATTTTCTCTGTATGTGTGGCCTGAAAGATACTTGGGAGAACATTTGTCACAAACCAGTTGTGCAAGGAAACCTTATCCCTAATGGCAAGGCAAGATATTCATGTACCAGTGTCCTTCCCTCCCCAGCGCCTCTGCAACCAGTTTTCAAGGCTTTGCTCCAAAACACTGAGGTCTTTCAGTTTCTGAATGGAATGGCTTTAATTATAGTGAATGTCTCTGTCAGGCGATGCTACAGTTCCCTCTCTCATAACATGCCCTGCCACGTCCTAACAGCTGGTATAGTTTGGCCCAGGTCCATGTCCTACTACACAGCTCTGTTGATTTACACTAGCTGGGAAAATACAGCTGATATAGTCCCATAAATACTACTATTTCAAAATATTACAATATTACCCCTGAGGGTAAAGGGCAAGCTATCTCGAAAAGTATTATGTCGGTGGCTTTGTAGCATTTATTCATTTGAAAAAAATATCCGTGAATTAATAAAAGAGTTTTGACTTAATGCTATTTCCAAATCTGAGGATTTAGACTTTGTGTTCTGGTTTTATTATTTTTTTGATGAATTCCCACCACCACCATCCTCTCCCTCTTCCAGTTTTATATAATTTAGGTTGCTCCCCAAGGTAGGCAAACGACTTTCATTACACAAAATTCCCATCCAATTGTTTAGTTTCACCCTCAAAATGGGAAGTATCTTAATGATGCCAAAGCAGGCAGCCCACAAGCATTTCACGTGCAGCTACACAAGCCCTTGTTGAGGGGAAAGGAGGCAAAAATCTGAAATACAGTTAACAGAGTCTTTGTCAGGAAGGTGATAAAAGAGTCCATGAGGGACCATCCCTTTTCCTGCTAGAAAAAGAGATCCTCCAAGTGAGTTGAGCTTGTGCTGCCCAGGTCTGGGCTACCTGCTGGGAGAAGATTACAGAACCACAGTCACAGAATAGTCAGGGTTTGAAGGAACCTCTGGAGATCACCTAATCCAAACCACTACCAGAGCAGGGTCACCCAAAGCAGCTGGACAGGAACGCATCCATGTAGGTTTGAATGTCTCCTGAGAAGGAGACTCCACACCGTCTCTGGGCAGCTTCTTCCAGGGCCCTGCCACCCTCACAGGAAAGAAGTTTTTTCTCATATTGAGATGGAATTTCCCTTGTTTCAGTTCGTGCCCCTTGTCCTATTGCTGGGCACTACTGAGAAGAGCCTGGCCCCATCCTCTTGCCACCCACCCTTTAGATATTGCTCAGCAAATTGCCACCCACCCTCTAGATATTGCTCAGCAAAGATGGGATTCCCTCTCAGTCTTCTCTTCTCCAGGCTGAACAGCCCCAGCTCTCTCAGCCTTTTCCTCATTAGAGAGATGCTCCATTCCCTTGATCATCCTTACAGCCCCAGGTCTTTCAGCCTTTTCCTCATTAGAGAAATGCTCCATTCCCTTGATCATCCTGGTCGCCTCCACTGGACTCTCTCCAGCAGTTCCCCGTCCTCCTTGAACTGGGGAGCCCAAAACTGGACACTGCCTCCTGCTAGGAGGTGGGTCCGGAGGTAGTCGAGGACATGGGGAGCAAGAGGAAAATTCAGCCCTGGGTTCTCTTGTCCTTACCACCCTCACCCCACCAGGAATGATTTCCCTTCCCTACATCGGGCAGAGGGTCATGAAACACCATCAGTTTGCTCCCAAGAGCAGACGGGAGCCAGTACAGGCACGACTTTGTCCTCTACATGTGGGAGAAGGAGCAGAAAGCAAGATTTGGGAGAGGAGAGGAAAGAGCAGGAAACTCAAAATCCACCTGAGAGTAATGACTTTAACATGTACAACATGTTTTGTTTTGTTTTGTTTTCCCCTCAGGACCAGTTTAATCAGTCAGACACAGTTTGATTAAATATCTCAGCACAGCCATGGTTTATTCATCTAGAGCGAAAGTTACCCCCTGTTCAGAGAAGCAGCATTAGCTTTGCTTTTTGATTATAAGAGCAACAATAATAATAAAATAATAACAATGGTATGCATTGTGGATCGTTTTTATTTCCTTTTTGTCAAGAGTAAGTGGACTATTTTGTCTGTATTGTAAAGATGAAATTAGTTATTTTAAAGATCTTTTTCTGGATTGTGTGGAGGTTTTTTTTTCTCTTTTAAGTGGAATTTTTCAAGGTACTCACCAGAACCACATGGCCTCAAGATTTCTCTTAAGAAAATAGAAAGGGAGAAGAGGGTGTGATGCAATTGCACGGCTCCAGGAGCTGGGAGGTGAAGGGAAATGCTGCAAAAGCTGCAGAGCTTATGAGAAAGCCAATGGGCTTGAAATGTTCTGCTGGGGCTCTTGTGCTCCTCTCCATGCAGGGATGAGCTTCGGACATAAACCTGGTGGTGGCTTGAGTTACTTTGAGAGTTTCCCCACTCGTACAATACAGCAACAGCTCAAATGGGGACAGCTCACACGCTTCCAGCTAAACATGTGAATAAGTGTTCTTCTGGATCCAGGCCAAAGTGCTGAAAACCTTAGAGAATTAGATCCTATAAATGCCAGTTATCAATACCGCAGATCTCTCTGCAGGGTAACTGCTGACAAAAACGGGCTTTTTAAAGTAGAGATCCACGTTCCTTGGAAATTTTCTAACTCTGGGCCCCAAACTCACTCAGCCTGGGATCAGGTCTGTAGGGTTGCTCAGCGGTGATGAATGACGAACCCAGGCTGGAGTGAAGGTGGGAGCATAAAATAAAACCAGGTAAAGTTGGGCGCTCACAAGCCCATGTTTGTCTGAAGCTCTATTTTGTGACAGCTTCA